TTAGGAGTGGGGGAGGGAAAACAAAGTGCAGAACGGTGGGTCCAGGACAGTAACATTTGTATAATAAATATTTTATGGACACGTTTTCACAGGCATAGAATGACTCTGGAAAGATATGTAAGAAATGGGTAACAAGGACTTGCCTTTAAGTAAGGAACTAGGATGCTGGGGTAGGGAAACTGCATACTTTCCATCTACATATACTGTGTACATGTGGTGACCATTCAAAAAGAGAGGAGAGAGGGAAATATATTTAACCCCCCCAAAAATCACAAAGAAAGCAAAAAAACAAAAGTTTTCATCTGAGACCCGAGTTTAAATGTCAGCTCCACCACTTTCTTGGACAAGTTATTTCAGCTCTCTAAACCTTAGTTTGCCCATCTGTAAAATGGGAATAAATATTGTCCATCTTAAGGGTGTGTGTGTGGAGAGAAAGCAAAAGAGCATGCAAAAGTGTCAGAAGTATATGTGGGAGTTCCTTGTGCTATTGCACCTTTTTCGGAATTTTGAAAATTTTTCGAAATGAAAAGTTTCATGTTTTCGTTTTGGTTTTTTCCTCATTCCTGGTCCGCTCCCGCTCCTCCACCCCCAGGTGAGGCCGGTGAAACAACCCTTTTTCCAAGCATACTCTGAGCGCCACTGGACGAGCACGAATCTGAGGTCAGGGCCAGGTGACCCCGGTGCCTGGCCACCCCAGCATCTCACTGCAGTCCCCTTCCCCCACTCCGTGGGCGCAGGTAAAGAGCGCCCTTTTCCTGGTGGGCGCGTGCAGGGGTCAGACGTCGGGGGTCCTGCCCCTGGTTACACCTGGAGGGTAAGCACCCGGCCCTCCCGAGGGGGGACTGGGGTGGGGAGCGGAGCCCCGAGGTGCCAAGCCCCGCCCCCCACCCACCTCGCGGGCTGTCTCCGCGGGGCCTGTGCCGGGACACGCAGGGAACCCCGGCCCTGGCGGAGCCCCCATCAGATAAGGCCGCCTCCCCCGCGCTGGCAGCCCTCGGAGCCGGCGAGCAGTTTACGTAAGCCAGCTGTTGATGGAAAAACAAATGCACCAACAGGCGTTTCCTGGCCTGCTCCGAGGGAGCCAGCCGCGGGCCCCAGACGCTGGCTCACCCCGAGAGGCTCCGTCCTGACAGCTCCCTGGGGGGCTCGGGCTGAACTCTGGGGGTCCCATGCGCCACCCAGAGGTCCCCCACCCCCAAGCCCAGGCCACCCTGCAGGCGGGCCCTGCACGCAGGAGGCAGCTAGTGAATGCTTGCCCTTAACCCTTCTCCTGCCGGCCCCAGCATCAGCCCGGGGCCCCTGGCCCCACCCCCACCCCGGCCCAGAGCCCGGGAGGGCCCATCCAGGCATCCATCAGCGCCACTGCAGGGGAGCCCGCTGCGTGCCCGGCCCTGCTCAGGGGCGGCGGGGGATGGAGGTGTGGGAACAGGAAAGATCCACGGATGGGGCATGTGCTAAAAGGAAATTGGGGCGGGTGGGGGTGGGGCGGACTCATCTATACCGGGTGCTTGCTCTCCTGATTTTAAAACGGAGGGGGAGCTAAGGCAGACCTTCGCAGAGTTGCTGGAAGAATGAAATGAGACAACTGAGGGTGCATCTTATGCCCTAGCCCATACCCGTCTTGGCCTGGAGGGAGGCTGATGGCCCAGGTTCAAATCCCAGTCCTGCCAGCTGCATAACCTCATCGCCTTACACCCGAATCTCTTTATCTGGGAAAGGGGTCTGGTACTTGTGCCAACCTCAAGTTTTGAGACTCAAGTGAGGCATTTTGAGGATTAAAATGGATAAATATAAAGCCCTTAAAGAATACCTAACGTAATGTCTCACACAAAATATCACACAGGAACATGTCACTGTAGATGTAAATCTATCATTCCCACCGCAGCCCAGACTCGTGCCTATCAGGGTGGCCTCACCGACACTCCCATCCTGGGTCAGTTGCCCCAGTTACATTCCCTCACCCGTCCCCACCAACCCACTTCTCTAGGTAACCCCCTTACCCGTGGAACCGTGTGCTCCCCACCAAACCGTGCACCCACTGTGCCTTCCCACACACTGTGCACACACTGTGTGCTGGTCCCAGTGCCCGGAGGTAAATCACAGCTGGTCCTGTCCTCTGGGAGGTCCAAGCCAGAGGATACATGTGTACACAGAGAAGGGTCAATGGAGAAACCCAGCGGAATCTGGAATCACTATGAGAATGTTAGAAGAATTACAGGAGATGGTGTGGGCCCAGGGTTAGCAAGCAGCCTGACACACGGTCGGTATATCCCCAAACCATAAGTACATAAAATACTGCTATTTAATAGTGGAGAGACCTAAAATCTAGTGGTGACTCTGCCACTTACTTGCTATGCAACCTGAAGGAAGGCATTGTCTCTTTCTGGGCTTCAATTTCCCCATGTATCCAAGGGAGATGCTAATATTAAACACCCATCCTAAGGCTCTGGTGAGATTCAAACAAGTCAGGGCAACTGGAAGCACTTTCTGGACTGTCAGAGGGTTAATCCCATCAGCTATGAAATATCCTATCAGTGTCAGTCAGGGAGACACAGCCTGGGACAGGATTTGGTCTGGGGTCAGAACCCAGCCTGGGCCTCTTTGCTTTGTGACCTACAGCAAATGGTTCTGCCTCAGTTTCCTCAACTGTAAAGTGGGGATAACAATACCTGCCACCTAGGTCACCATGAAGACCAAGGAGATCACAAAAATAAGAGCTAATATTTGCTACACACTTATTCAATGTCAGGAAGGGTTTTTAAGTGATTTTAAATATTATTATCGGCCGGGCGCAGTGGCTCACGCCTGTAATCGTAGCACTTTGGGAGGCCGAGGCTGGCGGATTGCTCGAGGTCAGGAGTTCGAAACCAGCCTGAGCAAGAGTGAGACCCCGTCTCTACTATAAATAGAAAGAAATTAATTGACCAACTAATATATATAGAAAAAATTAGCCAGGCATGGTGGCGCATGCCTGTAGTCCCAGCTACTCGGGAGGCTGAGGCAAGAGGATCACTTGAGCCCAGGAGTTTGAGGTTGCTGTGAGCGAGGCTGATGCTACGGCACTCACTCTAGCCTGGGCAACAAAGCGAGACTCTTGTCTCAAAAATAATAAATAAATAAATATTACTATCATTTTACAGTAGGGAAATTGAGGCAGAGAGAGTTTAAGCAACGTGCCCAAGGTCACACAGCTGGGAAGCATCTCTGGGAAATAATCCGGGCAGTCTGGCTGGCGCTGCAGCCCAAGGTCCTCACCAGGAACCTGGCTAAGGAGCCTAGCAATCGCACACAGTCAGGCCACAGCAAACGGTGGCGATTATTATGACTCTATTAATATGTTGCGTGGATATCATCATGATCTTAATTACTCATCAATCCCTTCTCAGAGCAGGGCAAGCTGCAGCGCTTTGGGCCCAGGTGGCTGCCAGCTGAGAACTGGCGCCAGGATCCCAAAATGCGGGCAGAGCTTTGTTTCCTCATCACACCCAACAAAAGTCAGCCCATGGGGGGGTGGGGGCACGTGGGTCCAGCACTGGGGCTTGGCACCAGGTGAGCGTGAGTGTCACATGCCGCTCTTTGCCCAGTCTGGCACTGGACACCCACTGGCTAGGGAGCAGGGCAGGGCCAGGAGCGGAGGCGGGGCAGACACTGGGCCTTTTGTGTCCTGCTCCCCACGCAGCCCAGCCCAAACACCCGTCCCTGCCCCCGCCCGGCCGGGCCAAGGGTGTGCACTGCCCTCCTGGGAGAGGAAAGAATTCAGGCTGCAGTCGGAGTCCAGCCAGGGCCCTGGCTCCGCTGCTTTCTGGCCCAGTGTCCTTGGGCCAGTCCCCGTGGATTCAGGCCTGGCTTTTTTGTCTCTAAAATAAGGCGTAGAGTGTTGGTCTTGGGTATGGGCAGGCATCAGAGAGGGAGAAGAAAGGAAAATATTGACCCTGAGGGGGGTCAGGAAGGGAACAGGACAGGGGCCCGGCCACCCCTCTGTTGGGTGGAAATGTGATTAGGGCTTTCACTTCTCCGTCAGGCCCAGATCACCCTGAAGTCCCAACACACACCCCCAACCTGCCTCACACGAGCAGATGCCACCTTGAACACCTGTGCACACCTGAATACTCATCCTCATGTGGACACACAGACCTACGCAAACCTCTGAACACAGTCACACACACCCCTGAACAAACACACATCGCAACACACAGACACTCCCACACTGACACTCACACCAGCACGACCACACTCACAGATTCGCGACGCCAGAAGGCACCCGCAGGCCTCGCCCGCCCACTCGCACCCTCCCCAGCAGCCTCCACCCCCAGGCGGCTGTCGGGCAGGGTGAGGCCCTCGGGCGGGCGCCCGGCGTGGGCGCCTGGAACTGCGCGATCCTCGCTGCTCCCAGGCTTGGGGCGCCCGACACGGCTGCCCAGGGGCCTGAGGAATGAGCCTAAAGGAAGGGAGGGCGTTTGGGGGTCCCACTGTGCACCAGGCCCTGTGCCTTGAGCTCCCATCCTGTCACCACTAGCCGCCCAACGCTGCCTAATGCGGTACCGGGCACACGATTTAGAGACTCAAAGTCATCGCTCCCAATTTTGAAGCCGAGAGCCCCCGCCCCGCGGAGATTTCATCCGCACAGACCCAGAGGGCGAGCAGGGAGGGGCGGGAGGCCCGGGCGATGCCGCGGTGCACCGCCAGGGGGCGCCTCCCGCCCCACAGCCACCGTCCCCCGCGGCCCCCTCCAACGCGCGGTGTCCGGGCGGCTCCCCCCGGAGCCTGCCCAGGTCCGGGCGGCGAGCGCCCCCGCAGGATGTCGCCGCTCCCCGCCCCGCCGGATCCGACCTCGGCTCCGGCTTCCGCGCCCTCCCCAGTCCCCAGGGGCCACCCCCTCTGCCCGGAACCGCCCCAAGCACACCCCGCCCAGGCCCAGAGTGGGGCCCCCTGCCCCTGCCCCTGCCCCTGCGTCTTCCTGCAGCGGAGACGCGTGGAGGTGCCTGGGTTGAAAGACTGACCTGAATAAATAGCAACAGCTCCCACGAACACAGCACTCCCAGGGGCCGGCGCTCTAGCAACCGCCACGGCTGGGCGACTCGGACCAGTCAGCAAAGCTCCCTGCAGTGGGGGTGTCACTACCCCCGCATGACGGATCACAAATCCTGGAAGCTCAGTGAGGCTGAGTACTTTGCCCAGGATCCTCTGGCAGTAAGTGGCAGGGGAGGGTCTAGCACCAAAGCTCTGAAGACTAGACTCATCCACAGTGAACGCCAGGCTGACATTTACTCCCCCCAGGACTTAGGACATATTTATTACCGAGCCACCACGTGCCAGGCACTGTGCTAGGCTAATGTACAGATGAAGAGAGAGGCTGAGTCATGGAGCTGACGGTCGCAGGAGAGAGAGGGGGTGTCATACTTTGAAAACACACACCTACAGATTCATCATGAATGGGCTCACTTACTAAAGACATGTGGAGAGGAGCTCTGTGCCCAGCGCTGTGCTGGCCACGCAAGCCAAGTGGGCGCAGGCCAGCTTCCTGGCCCAGTTGGAGGGGGAGGGCGAGGGTGGGGACAGTTCAGCCCCGCATGGGGAGAGGGCTGGAAGCTACAGCAGGGTCCGGAGGGGAGAAGGCTAAGCAGGGAAGGCTCTAGAGAGGAGGGGCATCTGAGCAGGAGTTTTTGAGGAGGAGAAGAGGGGTAGGACCTCCGGGCAGAGGGCCCACCCAGCATGCAAGGCAGTGATGCGTTTGGTGCACTCGGCTGGCCTTAAGCCCAGAGACAGGCAGGTCCCAAGTCCTGCAACAGAGAGGTGGGCAGGGACCAAGTTGTGACAGAGCCTCAAATGCCAGCTTAAGAACCCACTTGCTCAGGAGACAAGTATTGGATAAGTGTCCCAGGTCCCTTTCATGCCTCCCCTATGTGATTGGGAGCCCCTTGAGGAGAAGGACTGGGGCAGCAGTTGGGTGTGTTACAGCCATCCAAAAACCCCTCAACAAATCTGGACTCCAAACCTGATCGTCTTCCCCCCTCTTCTTCCGATGACTTTCCCCATCACAGTGAAGGAACCGCCATCCTCCCAGTTATGGGCCTGACTCCTCCTGGCCCTCCCTCCCTCCATGGCTCAGCCTCCACCCAGTCAGATGTCCCATTACCTGGCTGACTTTAAGAGGCCCTCACATCCATCCCTGTCCCCTCCTGCCCTGATTCATCATTTCCAGCTTCTTGGAATTAAGACTCAGGCATGCTGCCTGGAAAGCCATGTCTCCAGCCCCACCTCCCACCATCCTGGCGCTTGCTCTGACAGCTCCAACCACAATAGCCACCTTTTAGTGCCTTGGACCTTCTGCCTCAGGGCCTTTGCACATGCTGTTACTCCTTTCTACCTCCTCCCTCCCCCTGGCAACTTAATTCCCACTCACTGGTCTCAGTGATACCTTTCTCTGGGAAGCTGTCCTTTCGCTGGCCCGTGCATATACTCCAGTGGTCTCACGTAGGCCTCCTAACAGACATCAAGTAGTTACTTTTGAGGCTTTTTGACATTTGTCTCCCCTACTAGACTGAGCTCCGCACTGCTGCTCCCTGGTGTGGTGCCCCGTAGCCTCTTTGAGCTTACGCTGCTCATCACTAAAATGAAGGGACCATGTGGGTAGTTCCCAAGTCAGGCCACCTATCAGAATCCCTGAGGGACTTTTTAAAAACGCCCGGGTAGTCGTCATCATCATCACCACGAGCTGGGGGCGGGAGCGGGTGAGGTGTGGCTGTGACGGGAGTGTAATGTTAACCACCGCGGCCGCCGGGCCATGAGCACAGGGGGCTCCTCGTACTCCTCTGCTTACTTTGTATATGGTTGAAACTTTCCGTAATCAAAAGTTTCTTATAAAACACGTCGGCCTGGGCGCCTCCCCGGGAGGCGGTGGCGAGCCAGCAAGGGCGGTGTGCAAATGCCGCCGGCGCGGCCGATGAGCAGCTCTGGCCAGAGGCTTCCCCAGGCTGCTTCCAGCGCCAGAGAACTGGCAGCAGTTCTCTCATGACCACATGGGTGCCGCTCGCTGGTGGAAAACACCACACCCTGCGCGTGTGCCTCTGCCCCTCCCACCGCCTCAAACACGTCTGGGTCAACCGCCTGATCTGCCAACTCAAAAAGGCCCCCCAAACCCAGTCTGTGCCCGCAGCCCCCTTCTGGGCTCCCCTGGCTTCTGGAACACCCAGTTCCAGCTGCACTCGCACCTGGTCTGCTTCTGCAAGACCCCAGCCCGGATCCGAACCGCCTAGGTGCCCCCAGACCTGGTGCCTGGTGCCATGGCGGGATTGATTCGCGCTGGCTGAATTGAGCTGAATTTTGATGAAAATATCTTTGCAGCCCCCAAACTGTGTGATCCTGGGCAAGCGGCTCCTCCTCGGTGTCCTTCTCTGTGAAAGGGAATGAAAGTTCCTGCTTCATGGGGCAGGAACTTCATATTCATTATCTCATTATCAAAATGAGATAAAGAATATGAAAAGGCATTGCAAGTTGCAGAGTGCTAGGTAGGACTTTCACTGCGTGCAGAGCCAGGCTCTCCGTCCTTGGGGGCTCCTGTAACCCCTGGACTTCCCTCCCGCTGGACAGTGCTGGCTATTGATACATCTGTCCCCCAGAAAGCCTGTCCCCCAGAGGGAAGGGCCGTTAGCCAAATCATTGCCATGTCCCCAGTGCCCAGCACTGGGCCAAGGAGAGAGGGAGGGGCGGAGGGGGAAACAGTAAGCAGGAAGGTATAAATAGCCTGCTGGCACTCCCAGAGTCCCCAGGGGCTAGAGAGCTGAGGGTGGCCCTCCTGGGACCTCAGCTGACAGACGAAGGCTGGAGGTGTCCATCCTTGCCAGCAGGACCACGGTCCCCAGCAGCAAACACTCCCCTCCAGCATGAGCACAAGGGGCGGGGGCCTTCCGGACGGCACCCTGGGCCTGCAGCCCAGGCACGGGCCAGGGGTCAAGGTGGCCCACTGTGTCCCTGGCTCGTCACCTCCCCTGGATGACTGTTCCCAGCCGCTAGTGGTCTCCCTGTCTCACTCTCTTTCCTGCCCCACCTGTCAGAGGAAGCTCTCTAAGGTGGCTAGGAAAAAGTTCCACTTGGCGTTCACGGCTCTCCATGAGCTGAACTTCACCCACTCCCCAGGGGCACCCACAGCCATTTGACTCCTCTCCACCCCTGAGCCTGCCAGGCCTCCTCTTGCCCGTACCTTGGCCTCTGCTCTGCCAGCCATGCTTCCTGGCTCCCCCCTCCATCCAGTCACCTCCTGCTCCTTCAAGAGCCCAACCGAACTGTCATCTCCTCCTCCAAGCCTCTCCCAGCTTCTCGAGACACCTCCTCACACCTCCACTGTGGCTCCCCGAGGATTCAGACCACGAGAAGGCAGGTACCTATTCTCTCATCCGAACAATAACCCTGTGAGTAGAGTCCACTGGCTCCATTTTACAGATTAAGATACTGAGGTTCAGAGGGGCTAAGTACCTCATCCAAACCCTTTCAGGGCACAGAAGACTGTGGAAGTTCTCCTCCATCTGCCCCAGCCCTCCCCAGAGAGCCGTGGAGACTCTACCCCACTTCACCCAGCCCCTGAAGACTGCCTAATGCCAGGCCTGGGTGCGGGGCCCAAGAACAAGGAGCATCCGCTTTACACAGAGGCTCGGATGGCCCCTCGATCCCCACCGTAGTCAGCATGCAGGGAGTTTCAGATAGGTCCTCAGAGCTGCAGGTGACAATGGTGACAGCACCTTCTCCCTCCCTCCCGGCAGTGGACAGAGCTGCCCTGCCAAGCACCCGCCTTCCTTCACCTGCCTCTCACCCAGGCTGAGTCACTGCTGACCGGTCTCTGGCTGCGACTTCGCCTCCTCCCTCTCCCAGCGTCTCTTTCCCAGCCTCGAGAGACCATCTCTGCTTCTGCTGCTGTCTCTCTGGGCTGGCCCCTCTCAGCCTGAGTCTTCCCCTGTCTATCCCTTTCTCTCTAAGTCTTCCCTTCTCAATCTCCGTCTCATTGTCTCTGACACCATCTCTTCATCTCCGTCTCCATCTCTGTGTCTCTCTGTCTCTTCGTTATGTCTCTGTCACTGCTTTTCTCTCTTTCCATCCCTCTGCCTACTGTCCTTCTCTCTCTGCCCCTGTGTGTCTCTCTCTCTGTCTTTGCCTCTGTGTATCTTTGTAACTGTCCTTTTCTGTCTGTGTCCCAGTCTCTGTCCCTGTCTCTGTCCGTCTCTATCTTTCTGAGTCTGTGTGTGTGTGTCTCTGTCTGAGTCTCCAAACCCGGGTCTCCTCCATGGTGTCCCCACCCCTAGCCTAACAGCAGCCCTGTCTTCTAAACATGCTCCCATGTAGGGGGCGGGGGACCCCCAGGCGCCATGCCGGGGCCCTCTCCATCTGGGTGGCAGTGCTGACAGACAAGATAGGGATCAGAATCGGCTCTGTCCGGGCCTGAGCAAGGGGCACAGCCGGGCTACGCGGGGGCGTCTCGGTGCCTGCAAACGTTTGCCTGTGCGCGCATCTGGGTTTGTACTCGGGTCTCCCCGTGTGGGGTGGTCCGGGCATCTGTCTAAGTAGATTTGTGTGCGTCTGGGCCTGTTTATGTCTGTCTGCAAACAAGCATCTGTGTGTGCATCTTTGTGTGGTGCTGTCTGGGTGAGGGGACCTTAGCCTGTGGGTCTATCCATCCATGAGAGCCTCAAGAATGTGCATGCACGCGCATGTCCGTGGGCACACGTGAGTCGCTGGGGTAACCGGCGTCACGGTGTGTCTGGGGGGCGGAACGCACGCCAGGCCCTCTGCTTGCATTCTCTCGTGCAGTCATCAGTGAGATACACATCCCATTGCCCCATTTGACAGGTAGAAAAGCTGAGGCTCTTACCCCCTCTGCTTGAATGTGTGACTGTAGACGTCTGTGTCTGCTTGAGGCTGAGTGCCAGGGGTCCGGTGGCAGACAGACCTGGTTCAAATCCTGGCCTCTCCAACACTAGCTGCGTGACCCCAGGCAAGTTGGCTATCTTGCTAAGTCTGAAATCATTCAGTAAGAATGTATTGATCAAAACAGATTAAAAAAAATAGGAGCTACCTTGGTAGGGGTTGA